CCCGATTCTTGCGCATGGTCGCTCATCCATCAGCACGCACTCCAGATACTACTCCTATATACATTCTTACAGTTTCACTGGAATAAATTCTCCACTGGTCACAAACGTTTAAGTAGGATAAGTCCACCACTAGACAGGCATATGTGATTACTATATTAACACTAGAATTACCAACCCAGTCAAAATGACTGTTCTCAGAATTTTTCTTTCTGCAACTACTAAAAGCATAATATTTATTTTTCAACTGTAATTCATACCGCTGAAATTACTATTATCCATGCCTGCTATGTTTAGCTATGCTTAAACCCATTAAAGATCGGTAATTCTAGTGTTAATGTGCTATCATTTCAAGGCGTCCAATCCGAAAAGAGATATAACCTACGTCCATTCCTCTTCCAAATTACCAAGAAAGGAAATACCTATGTAATATCTATGTAAAATTCGCATTAGTCGCGTTGATTAATCGGATTAACTCGCAACAGCACGAAATCCGCTATCGTTCCTTCATACACTAGACTACACTGATACACGTGCAGAAAACGAATAGATAGGAAGCAGGAGGGAAAAGTTAAAAGTTATCGAGTATCTGAATCTCGTTACAAGCCAATACGGATACTCCTAGGCAATTATTTTTTATCCCCCTTCTGGCCGATTCCCTTTCCGAATACAATTGAATACGTTCGCCGGGAGAAATAAATTCGCAATCGGGAAGGGAAATGAGCAGCAGAAGGGGCTCTGCACAGCCGAATGGACGAGGAAGCAGAAGACGGGGACAAAAGAAACGGGGGCGAGCCGTTAAAAGTTGAAGACGCGTTTGCGCGGAACTGTTTCATTGTAATGGCCGAAGTTCCCGGCCGCTTCGTTCGCTCTGCCCTTTATTATTTTATATTTCGTGGCAGCGCGGAGATAACAGAAATTATGCGCACGTTCCCAAAGTGAAACAACCGTTAAGCGGCACGACGCGAAACTTTAATTCCGACCACCGATCTCATCTTCGAGAATATCCTGCCGGGTTGGCCGGAGCCTAATTCCGTAGGGATTCGCGTCCCGTCACTAATTTCTTCGACAGGTCAAAGACACGGTGCCGTGGCTGTAACCCCGGCTGGCATCGGGACGTTTCGAAAATTTCGCGGAAGGTACGCTGGAACGAACTCGCAGGAAATTAAGCCGCTAATGAGACCGGTCACAAATGAATCGACGTTAAGACTTCCTTTCCCTCTGTAATTACTTCTTCGTCCCGCTGCCATCGTTTTTTTTTCCACAACTTCGGACTCGTTAAGGTAATACGACGGCAAATTGTTATCGGAGACCAGCTCCTGCCCACGAACGTTTATTTATGCTACCGTCAAGATAAGGAGATTAATATCGACTCGATCCGTGGCTATCGGAATTAGCTTGAATATCGAGCAACGAATTACATCGGTGGACTAAGTGTCCTTTCTTGCATTACATCCCTTTCTTGTCCATTTGGATCGCTTATCTCCTCGGTTATTGGCCCATGAAGAACGTGACTTTCCACTTTTTGTGGAAGACTTGTAACGTATCTGAAATAATTTCGTTTGTCATTAGTATTATATATGACCATTTTTTATTCAGTGACGAGTATATTCGTCCTGAAGAAAGAGTAATTTACTTACAGATGAAATTGAAACATACTAATCTTGGTACAGTTTAGAGTAATAACACTAAGTGTATTTTTAATTGCAGATATTGTTTTCTTTGCGTATCAGTCGAATTTTGAATTCAGTAAATAACACCTATGAGCGAACCTATGAGCAATGGAAGTAAAAATTTTTCGAAAAGATAACTAATATTTTTTCCTTTATGCAGCATAATGCACTTGCTCGGTTTTCGTTGAGTATACTCGACGTGAATTATACGTAATTAAGCAGACGGGTGTAGAAGTTCAAAACTTCTGCGATGAATGTTAAGATACAAAAGACAAACGAGGTTTCCCATTCTTCATTCCCCAAATGGATTTACAAAACTGGATCGTGTTCTTCTACGAGAGAATTGAAAAAGTCAACCGTGGCTGAAGGATTAACCGTGTTACGGAAATTTACATAGCCATTACATTAACCATTTGGTGAACATAAATTAAAAGTGCGCTATCTATATGGAATATCTAACCATTTGAAGTGATTTATTATTTTTTAGAATTTTTCGTCCACTATAGGTAATACAAATAATACATCTGAACGTTGATTAAAATTCTATTATCGGTATGGGACATCTGACAACGGTGATTTATTATTTTCGAAAATTCTAAGATAAGTGATAAACAATAAAAATTAGGTTCATTGGATGACAAAGATTAAAGTTCGAACTAGGTACAAATCAGGTAAAAATTAGATGATACTTTTAGGTATATACTCGGTAAATATCAGAAAATAAAAATTAGATAAGTAACAAACTAGTATAGTAACATACTAATACTATAGTAAATTAGTATAGTAACACATTAATATTATACTAAACTAATATAGTAACATACTAATACTATACTAAACTAATATAGTAACATAGTGACAAGTAATATTGGTTCTGTGTAAACGATACAAAATTCCAAATTAGCAGTGTCGCCGAATGTCATATCGGCGCGTTTCTACGACGCGACCAGTTAGTTAGAGAGGCGGATACGCTGGTACTCCTCCGACATCCGCCTAACACGCACAAGTGCGTTCGACGCACGTGTTACGGACCGGTCGCGAGATACACGCATGCACGATCGTATATAATATAGTGGATCTGCGTCCTCTGTAATGTAATCATGGCTGACACAATTAATCACTGGACCATCCAACCCTGCCGAACCATTAGCGATCGGGACACTTGGTTTCACAGGGGGTTGCGTTTCGCGTCTCCACGCCTCGAAAATGCATTGTATTCGTGCGCAAAATACAGTCACGCAGAGGCACAAACGACACACGAATGCACTTACGCTAACGTTAAACCGTAAAAAGGGAAGAAAAGTGAAAGGCGGAATAACCAGGAAAACGCGACGAGCCTCTCCAGCTGGAATTAATGAGTTGAAAACTGGATGAAGGTCGAAAATAACGAAATGCGCTCCACCTGCTGATTTATTAATATTACTTTACTCGTGTACGTTATAAACTCGTTAAAGAATTTTACTTTCATATACGGTAATAAAAATATAGCGATATATAATAATAAAACTGTAGCAATTTGTACCAGCATGTAGTAATGAAATTATAATACTAACCTAACCACTTGAGCAATTACGTCGTCCAGATACATACGCACACGTCATGATCAAAATCAGTTCACGACGAAAATAACTGAAAATAATAATAAATCTTTTGTATATCTTAATATTTATCTCATATATCCAGATTTGTATTCCATGTTAAATCTGGAGTTGATCCATCACATTATATAGTAATAAAACTGTAGCAATTTGAACTAGTATGTAATAATAAAATTATAATAATAATCTAACCTCTTAAGCAGTTACGTCGTCCTTGTACATACACACGGCATGATCAAAATCAGTTCACAGCGGAAATGACTGAAAATAGTAATAAATCTCTTATATATCTCAATATTTATCTCATATATATAGATTTGTATACCATGTTAAATCTGGAGTTGATTCGTCTCATTAGTCGACTTTTGCTTTATGTATATTCATATCCCAGCCTGTTCTAAACTAAATTCTTTAATACATCCTACTATTTACACGTGTATCGTATCTTACGAAATTAGCGCCACCGTGGAGCAGACTTTTAATTATGAACCACAAGCTCAAATGGTTAATACAGTTTTACTCTCGTGTTACCTTACGAGCAAATGGTAAGTTTTAATGGGAGTAAAGAGATGGTGTATGAAAAATGGTCACATTGTCCATTCGACTCGTCCAACTTTCTCGTTTACAATTTACGTCCGCCTAGCTCAAAATTTCGTAATATCGATCAACTCCCCGTTCGAAAAGTTGATGCTCGTTAGACCGTTTTCGTTGAATTTCAACGCGCAATGCAGCCCCGTGATTAATTGGCGGCGTTGTTTTTCGTTAGTCTATTATATTATGAAGCGATTCATCTACCGACCTTTATCGACGGCTGATTGGCGCGCATATCGCGCAAATCTAGTTCGGAGACGCGTCGCTGCGCTCACGGATCATATTAAACAGAACACAGGGCACGATGCTGAAAGCACGGTCGATCGATGAGCAAAAGGGGAATCGCAGACATCGCGGCAGCGAGCAGCAGGTTTGATTAACTTCACTCGGTCGTGCAAGTTGAAAAACCTTCGATACGATCTTTATCGTGTACCGTAAAGAACTACTACCGCCGGTAATTAATTATACAGAAGAGGAAGTTCACCGAAGTTTTCTCATTTTTCCCATGAAAAGATCCCCTTCTCCCTCCTTCTCTACTTATCTTTCTCTCTTCCCTCTACGAAGTTGAAGCACGATCGTTACTTTTAATAGAGCTTCCAGGGACCAACAACTAAATCTCGACGCGAACTGATCACGACGCACGCGCGCAATCTCTGTTCCAGTATCGAAACTAATTTTCCAACGCAACTACCGGAAGCTAATTTCGTTCTCTTCTTTATATCCTTTTCCATTTTTTTTTTTTTTTTTTTAATCTTGTCACCAGAAGGAGAAGTTTCGAGGGAAGAAATTATATAAACTAACCTCTATCTATCACTTATAACGCACTGTATTACGACAAATATGAACTATCAAAAATTACGTTACCTTCTTTTCCCTCGCTCCGTTTTCGTCGACGTTAATTACGAAGTAATGCACGCAAAGCTGTATACGAGCACGAAAATGGCAAGAGTTAAGTACCGGCATAGACGAGACGTACTCTGCTAGTAGAAACGGGGAACAGGATATGGCCCATTGGCTATGTAGCGAGAAAAGACTGGATGGTAAGGAAGAGGGGGACAATAATACGGGGATCCTTGGAAAACGGCCAAAGTGTCAGCCATAATATCATAGTCGTTATGCAGAACATCCCAGACGTACGTTGTGCGAATGAGCATTTTATTCTCTGACCCTGTGCACGTGTGTGCACACCTCTCTTTTACACAATCAAACACGCCGCGAGCTATCGCTTCTCACGAAGCGATGGAGCTGGATCGTGCGCCACCATCTTCGATTCCCTCTTCATCGACCGCTGCCTACTTCACCCATGAGCGTCTCTCCTTACCCTCCGTGTAAAGTTGATATGAACAATATCGTGTCGCCGGAGTTTATTCTGTAATTGCCCTCGCCCTGGAAATTTTGGTAAGATCACTGTTATCAGCGTGGCACTTTTTGTTGTATGAATAAACAAAACATGTAACAAAGCGATAAAAATGGAACGTCGAAAGCACGACATACATGCAAGTACTGTGAGAATGGAGTGAAAAGAAGAAAGGACAAGGAGTCGTGGTATGGTCGAAGCATACGAAGCTTCAAGAAAGTCGGTATTATCATAATAATGGCTGAAGCCATCATCCTTTCCACGTCTACTCCCCAGCTCCCCCATAGCTGGCACAGCCCGTTTCTCCAGGATCCTTTCTCTCCTCGAGAGTGCTTCAGGAAGCGGAGTCTAATAGCGGCCGCGTTTTGTACATTTACAAATTTAAAATGATAATTTTCCCGTGGGTGTGGCAAGCCTTCAGATCATTTGCGCCCTTTCACCGTCGGATCTCTTATTTTCCTTCTTTAAGCTGTACTACAAACTAACCACACAATAGGTCGATTACGCGACTGGCAAAAAAGCCACGACGGGATACTTTCACTGGACGTTTGTCAGATGTCGCTCACAAATGCGTGTTTCTCCCACCCCGATTACGATCAACGCGTTACTGCTCCACAGGGATAATGCGAATCGCATGCTTTTTATACGTTCTCGTAGATAAGAGGAAAATGAAAGAAGGGAAATTGAAAATTTATCGCATGCAGTCATACTAAATAACAAGGAAATATTCAGGTATATAACGCAGTACTAATTAATTTAATATATCACTGCAGGTAAAGTAAATAATTTTATATTTACCAGCAATTCCCAGTCAGTATCATTCACGAGAACTAGAATTCCTGGTCGCCTATGTGCATAAAATATATATTCAATGAAACTGTATATGTACTATGTTCATATATATGTAATTATATAAACAATGCAATTTAATGAATGAATTTTCTAAATTATGTAAACATATTACAATAATCAAATAAATTTTACATATCGATAAAAGTAATTAATACCATTTTTAAATAACCAAAAAGAGTATTTTAATAAAATTAAACTAATACATAAATTTTTAACATTAACCCCTTACCTTACGATTGAAGTTCCAATGATGCGTGCCATAATCAACAACACAGTCGGTCATACGTTGAGCCATTCTTGCCAAGAATAACTCGTAACCGAGATAGAAAGACATCGACGAAAATTAACCACGAACCTGACCCATTTTGTTTATGTTGATCCTACTTACAGACCACGGCACTCGCTCGTCACATTCTTGCTTGGCTTTATTTTTCCTTACCACGAATCTCACACGATATTATAGGTGAAGAGGTTAACGTATATTTCTTTAACTATTAAGAATCATTCGGTAAATCAAACCAACTTTGAACATTAAATAAATCTAATAGAATACGAAAATGAATAGTGTAATTAAATTAAATCTACAATCATTCACAAGAAAATGAAAAAATCTATACTTTTGGTAAGTAAAAATGGTATATATGCATATGTAAATACACGTCAGGATTACATCGTAATTCGTCCATTCTTTCAATAAACTGAATTGTGCTGCCCTCTCGCGTAGAACTACAGAAGTCACACGTCGCCATCTTAGTTTTACATACCAGTAGAATTGGCAAGTGCGATTAACACAATAATACCGTATTGTGTTTGTAGTGCGACACGCGTGTCACAGAGAAACTGCACGTGCCGAACAGAGGATCAAGTCGGGCAATATTCTGAATTATTGTTTGGAATGTTTATAGAACTGATATACAATTATGATATGATTTCATAACTTACACGGTGTCTTTTTGTATAAAAAGTTCCGGTCGTTCTTTTAAGAGGTTATCCCTTATCCAGAAAAGTAGCTTTTCTATAGTCCCTAGAAGATTTCACGAAACAAATAAAGATTTCATACGAAGGGAAATTTATAAAACTTACAATCATCTCCAGGTAAGCTCACTTCGTGCTTTTTTTTCTTGTCAAAGAGTAATTCTGCCCCACCTCTGAAATCATTTAACGAATAATTTAGTATACCTATACTGTTATCACCACAGGAAGAGTTAGGTTAGATTTTGTATTACCCAAATTCAATGGTCACAGAAATTCTACTACTTTCAGTAGACATACTTTTCTAATTTTTTTTTAAATTATATCACTTTACAATATTGTTAGCTAGTGTCATTTAATTATAAAGAAATATCGTTCACTGCGCATAGAAACAACGTAAATGACATTACAGTTCGATTCCACGTTCCTTCGATTTAACTGGCCAGTAGTGTATATGCGACATGTGACAAACACTAGTTTTCAAATTTTAATTTTATTTGAAGCATGCTTCGAAATATTCTGATTTTTATTTTTATTTTTTTCTAATTTACAAAAGCATACAAAGCTTTGCAGTTGATAAAGTTATATTATTATATATTAAGAAATTAAATGGAATAATTATTTTGATCAATGGAAAAATTGTCATGGGTACATTAAAATTAATATTATTAATAATCCGTATTAATGATTAGTACGACCTAACAATAAGTTAGATTTGATGTAAAAAAGAAATGTAGAACAAGTACCCTATAGATGCAATGCAAGATACATCCCTGTGTATTTGCGGGTCATTAGTCTCACAATAATTATGTTTAATTGCGATGCAAAGGTTGTGTTATATATGATTAACTAGTTTATAGAAAGATAAAGTTTTTCTAATAAGAGTAGTATTAAAAAATGTAATTGTTGCAAAACTAATATACAATAAAAGAAGTTTATCTGATAAAAATGTAAAATTCACGAATGGAGTGAAATGCAGGTGCTATCAGCGGCAGCTGTAATGGCGGTCATTGGAAAAGTGCGATCGCAGACGTTAAATGTCTAAAAAACAAAGTAGCATATATTCAGTACGTGTTCGCGTTGTTTTAAACTCTTTATGCTCGTATAATCCTACATAATCGTAATAGATTTTTCGTGTTTAGTCTCAACTTCCAAAATGTCGGAAGAAAACGAACATACTTCGGAAGAAACCGAAGCAGAAATGAATGCGGAAAATCATAATAAAGAACAATCGAAAAGTGACACAAGCATGTTAAACAATGAAACGGAACAACCTATGTTGGAAGACGAAGAAATGCCAACATATATCAGTGTATCTAGTCCATCAAGGCGCGAAAATCCAGATGTCAATAATACAAAACAAGATAGAGCCCCCCCAATAGAAGAAGATCACAGTCGAAGTCCTTATTCTAGCGACGATCAAGGAGGATATAGTATCTATGTATTGTCTTCTGGTGAAGAGAGTAATCATCCATACAATGATGAGGAAGATGAATATCCAGATAGCGATGGTAAGTAAACAACATATAAATATCATTTAATAACGAATCAATACTTGACATATTCATTTGCATTGCAATCTATGTATGTAGATATGGATGAAATGGATCTTGAAAATGAACATGAAAATGCAATGGTAGAGGATGAGGAAGACGAAGATGATGATGATGATGATGATGGAAATCCTTTGAAACTGCATAATGATGATGATGAGGATAATGACACAGAATATGACCAAGAATGTTTTGATAGAGCATCAGACGATTTTGTTTTAAACAACAGATTAAAACAACATCATAAAGAAAGAAGTTTATCGTTACAAGATTTAAACATTTCAAACAATAGTGCTCACTCACCATATAATAAGAAAAGGCATAGGTTAAATATTTTTAGACATAATTATTTTGGTATTCAACAAAATGCAATGTTATATCCTGTTACACAAAAAAAGCAAACGATACCATTTAAGTATCAACACGTGGAAAGCAAAGTAAAACAGTACATAAGAGGTATAAAGGAACAAACCAGAAAATCAATGGAAAAGCGTATTAAAGAGCAAGGGTTTATATTGAATAAAAATCAGGAAGAGAATAAAAGTAAGAAATATTTTTGTTAAATTATAATTTGAATATTCACATTTGCAAGATATGTCGTAATTTTGATTATAGTTGTCAGAAATGAAATAAACAATAGGATATTTTTCCATGTAAAAGTATATATTTTTCTATGACAATATATGCGTAACCAAGAATTTTTTTGCTTATAGGCAGTGACACAGGGAAATTAAAAACGAGAGTTGCAAATAAAACCATTAAAGATTATGCAGAGAAAGCTATTCAGGATTTACAACGAGAAGAAACTGAAGGTGAAAATTTAGTTTATAATACAGGAAATTTAATAGAAAATGGAGAAAATAATAAAACTTCTAACAGAGTAAGTGAAAACCAATATAAACATGTTCGAAAGGATACAGAATATAATGATGTACAAAATGAAAAATGTGTGCAAAATTCTGAGGATAAATTGGAAAAACGAAATGGTTCTGTAGATGTTAGTACACATCATATCGAATATCAAAATGCTTTAGATAGAAATATAAGATTTTCTAGTATAAATCAATCTTCTCTAGTTAATGGTCATCAGTCAACACCCACATTTATTAATTTGCGTACATTGAGCTATGATGAATACATACATGGTACTTCTAATACAGGACAAAGAGAAGAATTACCTGAACAAAGACAAGAAAAAACGAACGAAAGTGAAGCATATAATGATACAGAAATGATTAGTGCACAAGAAATTGATAACAGCAACACTAGCTGCCCTTTGAAAATTGCAAGTGTTAAAAGTATCCGTGTAATGCAAGATGAATCAGAGAATTTGAATTTTGCAAAGATTAATGCAACTGAAAAAGTGACTGCCGATAATACTGAAGTAATTGAACTGAAGACACAACTTAACCAAAAAGATGCACAATTCCATAACTTACGAGATGCCTATCAGAAAGTATTATCAGAAAATATAAAAATGAAACAAGAATTAGATGTTTTAAGAAAATCTTTAGCAAACTATGAAAATAAAAGCAAACCGAGTGAAACGAAAATTGCAGCTGTACAAACTGATGTGGTTATTGAATCTTCTTCTTCTAATCAAGATACAGCAACTTCAGGAGAAATAAATAAAATATCCACTAGTAGTATTGTATCTACAGCAAGTTCTAGTGATAAATGGGTAGACAGTGCTTATAGTCCAGCTATATCTCTTAAACCACCCGATTTGACACCAATTCTTAGTTCGGATGATAGCATTGTACTCACCAATAGTACTACACCAAGAAAAATAGCACATCCGTTATCTCGAACATTTATTACTTCATCTCGAATTTTGCAAACACTTTCGAACATAACACGAGGTAAAGCCAAAATTGAAAGTCCTTTAGCAAGAAATAGCAAAAAACGAACAAATGAAAATTCCACAGATCAGTTACAAAATTTAGAATGCAATTCTTCAAACCATGCATCAAGTTCCAAAAAAAGAAAAGCAACAGAAATGCTTGGTGCTCCTACTTTTATTCAACCTTTTAAAATACCTCACACAATTGTAGAATCTGAAAGAAAAAATAATAGTGATGCAACTGATGTAGAATTTAGATATTCTGAGGAACAAACAATGTCAAAACCAGAAGAAGAGGGAAATATGTCAGCTAATAAAGATATTAATGATACTACGTCTGTGGAAAATAAAATTGAAGAAATAGATGATCAAGAAGACAGTGTAAAATGTTTCATATACAGAGAAGATGAAAAAAGTAAAAACAGAAGTTTTTTAATTCAAGCAGAAGAACCAACAAAGGATAAATTAGATAATGACAAAAATGATATTCAAGAATGTGGCCCATATTTGTTGGGTAATCTTGAAGTAAGGATGTCTGAAATAAATGGAACAATTAGTGTTTGGGGTAAAGAAATAGACCACGAATTAACCAGCGATAATGAAGACGATATGGAAATATCTGTAAAATCATCTGAAAAAAATATGTCTCAGTTTTGGCAAAATACATCGCAAACCAGATTTAACGGAAGTCCACTTATATGTTCAACTAACAAAAAGCAAAAAATTCCATCCCGATTGAACAGATCTAGCATTTCTCAATGTTGTCATTCTTTATCATTGAATTCAATAAAATCACCTTGTTTGGTAGATGATGCAAGTAATAAAAGACGTATGAGTAATGTTTTCAGTCCAAATACTGGTATTCCTTCTTGTGAAAACTGTGATTCTTCAAAATGTTATAAGGAATGGTCAAAATGTAAAGATGCTTCAAGTTCACAAGAAAAATTACATTCCTGTTGTACACATCATATCGAAATCATAGGTAAAGGGTGTAATTGTGGTTCACATCACGAGAAACAAAAAAGTGATGTTAGTCCTAAGTTTTATAAAGATAAGATTCATAGTAAAGGAATTCGAAGGAATTCTTGCAAAAATATGCCTACATCAGAAGAATCAAAGAATCATTTACATGAAAATGGTACGAATGCCACTGCCGAAATCAGCGAGGTAACTTGCAAATATCATACGTGTCGATGTTCGTTACAAAATATGGTTGATAACAATCCACATTCAAAGTGTTGTAATACTGTTAATGATGCTTCTTATACATGTAAATCATGTTCGAACAACAGTATAAATAATCACGAAAATTCTGGTAAACATACATATAGCCATAGTCTTTCAAATGAAGATGAAGAAGAACCTCTAATTCCACTTAAACGATCTAATGAAACACTTGAAGTAAGGACAATGAAACTTTAAATATAAACGCAATTTTTAAAAATTGATGAATAATTTTATATCCATGTAACATTTCTTATTCTGTATATAGACGAGACAACGAAGAATAAGTGGTAAAAGGGTACGTGGAATCCTTATGGATCTTTTAAGAGGATGTGGAGATTGTCGTAACAATAGTACTACTAGTTTAAGTAAGCCTGTGTTTCAACAGAAAGGTTCACCCTACATGGTAAATGGTCCTCCACAAATTAAGATTTCTCCTTCTACTATACCTGAGCCTACATGCTCTACTTCTACGCAATGCAATGATAGGTAACTATACTTGATGTTATCATAAAAAAATATGATACATATAATATGGTGTTTTCTCTATTTATAGGTGTTGTCATGCATATGCACATCGAATTGAGTCTCAACTTGAAGAATTTCGAATGGAAATGGAGAGAGTGCGATCGCGCTCGGACGCAATTTTAGATATGCTCAATATGCTTCACTCTGTGGATATGAACTAATGAAACATATATGACTCTAAACTAAGTGCTTTTTCCTTGTACAGATCACTATTTTAATTTCCTTAAGTCGAAATTTGCATTATCATCCAAATTTCTTATTTACCTCTTCTACTTCATTGCATATAAGGAATACGTGATCAATTTATTAAAATAAAATATATAAATACAAAAAAAAGATGCTACATTGTACCAGATATGTCATTTGTACTATAATGATTCAATTTTTGCGACATTGATGAATGTAATGATTGACGTATTTTATGAGTTTTATATCGTATAAATATTTACTGTTTTTTAATAGATTTAATTTATCCATAACTTGATAAATATATTTACGTACAGAAACTAGAAAATTTTTGTTACATTCTAGGACGTAGATATTTCACATGTAATTTAACTTAATAGTAAATTAGTGAGACGACATTCGGCTCATTAAAATTACAGCTCCATCAATAAAATATTAATTAATTTCCTATTAATAATTGCAGTCGCAGGAATCGAATCCTGTCCCAGCCTCCCCAGGTAAAACACCAGGTGGCATCTCTCCTTGTCCTTTAAAGATATTACTGTAAGATGTCTTCAGATAATTTACGTGACCTTGTAGTGACCTTATTCGACCTTGAGCCTGCTCGAACGCCTCATTTAAATTATTTATCTGACCTTGCATTTTTTGTCTAATCTGTAAGTAATGAAAGAATAGATGAGCAATCACTAATATTTAAATAGATAATAGAGTTACATTTTTTTTAACAATGTTATACCTCATCTCTATCTTTCTGTGCAGCTCTTGCAGTAGCTCTACATTGAGCTAATTGTCTTTCCATTTCTCCAATTTGACCTTGCATCGACCTTCTTACAGTTTCACATCTTTCTTTCGTTCTTGCTACTTGTCTTGCAGAATCCTCTCGAACCTTTAGGTATTTTATTAAAATTATCATATGTTTTGCAACAAAATATGCAACAATATACCTGTTCGAGCATTGCCGTTAATTGTGTAACTTCGTGCATTTTTTCATCGATGCGTTTCTGCAATTGCGCTTCGTGTTCTTCAAATCTTGCCAGCGTATTTTTCATACGTTCATTCTCGTGTCTTAGCTCGGTGTTTTTTCTTTCTAATTCATCGAATCGTCCCGTACCGTGACCTCTTTCATCCTGTAAAGCATACGAAGTTTATAAATCTATAATTTTCTAAAGCAGATTAAGATATCCATTTTAGAACAAAATGTGAAAATACGAACTTGAATTGCTTGATGTTCGCTACGCAACACGTCCAATTGATTTTGCAGAGTCTGAATCTTATCTTTGCAGCCTATAACCTCCCGAGAAAGGTCCTCACAGTTACGTTCTGCAACCAAACGCATCTGTTGTGCTTCTTGTAGCTTGACTTGCGTTTGTTTTAGAATATCTGGCAAAGGTGCAAGTTCTGCGAGTTTCTCTTGGAATTGATTCTATTGAAAAATTAATAAAATGTACATATTTAACAATCTTATACATACAATTATTCACGTACTTTAACTCGCCCTATTTCCAAAGTCACATTTTCATTCATCCGTGCGTTATCCATCTCCATTAAGTCAAGTTGCCGTCGTTGTTCTTCCACTTGTTGCTGTGCCTATTTTTTCATCATTATTTATATATATATAATATATTATTATCGAAAACATGAGATAAATAAAAACCTGTAAATATTTATTTCGATAATCTTCCAACTGAGCGGCTTGATCTTGAATCAAGGATCGCAATTCTTCAAGTTCATCCTGAGCTTCTCGAAAGCGTTGCTTAAAAACAATTAGGGTTTGCTCTTGTTCCACCATTTGTTCCTTAAAACCTATCATTAAATTAATTATATCGTGGCAAAATAAATTCAAATTGAAGGGTATTTCAGATAATCACCTTCATATTTATCCTTCTCAGCCTCCATTGCCTTCAAACGTTCTTGAGCATCTATTAGTTTGATTTCCAATTTTTCTTTCTCTTCGATTGCTTCACGCGATTGCTGTTTCAGCTTGTCAGCATCTGTTCTTAAACACGAAACCTCGCATAATTTGTTTTTGTAATCATCTTGTAGACGTGCATATTGTTCACGTAGATCACGTAACTGTTGCTGAGGACACGTGCTAGCGCCCTTTTATTAAACAGCTACTTTAGTCTGTGTTAAATCTTTCTCTGACGTTCAATCTTACCATAGGAGCATTTATACAAGGACCAGTACAGGTAGAAGAAGGAGCAGGTGCCATCTGCATACGACGAAAAATGATCTTATATGATTTGTACAAGTAAATCACACTTAATACAAAAAAAATATCTGAAACTTTTATGAAAATATATTTATTTCGTTCAAAATTTCTTTCTGACATTTTGACAATTTTATAGACATAAATCTTCAGATTCTATCGCCACAATCTTTACAATCAAATGAATCGAAATTTTGAATGGATACCTTAGGAAAAGGTATAGGAGGTGGTTGTATAACTGGTATAGGTGGTACGTAAGGAGTTGCGCTTGTAGTTTGATGATTCAAAGGCGGAGCAGGACAGCAACCACAAGGTGCACAAGGGCCGGTACATTTGAGTAACTTGCGTTGTTGTTCCAGTTGCTGACGTTCTCGTTGAACATTAGCAAGCTCTATTTGCATATTACGTACTTCACATTCCATGCTGCCCAGTTGTTGCTCCTACAAAAATTATGAAAAAGTCAGCATAGAGATTAGATTAAATTAGAGCTGATTGTATTTTGAAGATGTACTAGCTGTTTGGTACTGTTCCCATAAGCCGTAAGTTTGTTCTCCAATTCAGCGGGACACGTCCCCCTTGGCGGAGGTGGTGGTCCAGTGCATGGCGTTTTAACTGTGGCAGGACTTCGACAACACATGTCGATTTGCGAAGAAGCACTACTTGTATTGCAAACACCCGTTATCGATGCGCCACCCGCGAGTCTTGGTGAATCTATAAATATTAATGTTCAATTGATATTTAATTTCCGATGAATAAAATGCTTTATTATTCTGTAGTAAACATAGCTCACCTCCGCTAGGTGAATACGTGTGACTATCTGATCTCACTAAAACGTATCGATTCTTTTTTAGTATCAACTTAAAGGAAATTAAAAGAGACGTTAAAAACTTTGTTAAAATATACCGCATATGGTATTTGTTGTTGGTGATAAAGCATCAGCAAATTGGGTTTGAAAACAACACTTGCACCGACAGTAATCGTCGTCTTGCTGTAAGGTAGTCGTGTATGAAATTGAACGTAGTGGAGATGGGCTTGAAATTTCAGAGGAAATTCCACCTGGACAGGTGTAACAACAAGGACTAGTGATTCGTTGATTCAGGCAAGCTAACTGACGTGTCAACTCCGCATTTTCCTTCACAACTATTCTCATTTCAGCCTGTAGTCCGCATACCTTCCTCTGTAAACTTTCAACGGCAGTATCCTTTTCTAGCAATGCTTCTTCTAATTTATATCTAATACGTCAATGAATTAATTTTTATAACAAAAATAAGATCACATGGTTTGTGTCGACATATTTTCATTAACGACAATCTGTGCAATCGTCGTTAGGGAAACTGATTTGTTTTCACCTACTTTTTTAAATCGATTCTCTATTTTTTTTTTTTTTCTTTTTTTTTGCTGTATTAGAAAACGATAATCGAACAAAATCAACAGTTATACAAAATGAAGTTATGCCACGAAACTTACTTTCCACCTTCAAGCTGTGCATTTTCTATTACCAATTTTTCCTGCATGGTTAATGACTCTGTCAATTTTCCAGTCAAATTTTGAAGACATCTGTCTTTTCCTTTCTTTTTACTGTCTGCCACTACGATCTTTGGGATTTCATCTTCGGTATATCCACATACGATTACTCTCGGGAGCCTAGTTAAATTAATCGTGCAATATTAAATAATATATTCTCAAGAAGTAACGTTATAACATACTTGTCTTCTGGATATTCTATTTGTGGCAAGTCAAAACGTTCTTTAAGCTTTTCTAATTCCATATCTGTCTTTTTATCTACCATGTCTACTTTATCCTTTACTTCGACGTCTTCTTCTTCTTCGGTAATGACCTACGATTTATTTTCTCCATACACTTTCCCGCGCTATTTATTTTTGTTGTTCAATAAAAAATACCTACTGCGCTGGGTTTCATAAACGGCTGCATATCAAACATCTTAGCAAAGGTAGTACTCGAGAAATCAGTCAATCCCAATAGTCGCTGTAACTTCCGTGTTATCTGCTCGAATTCTGACAGCTTCCTCATCACTTCATCCTGCTTCTGTTGAATCGTCAACGTGTCTTCATTCGTTAAATCTTTTTTCTATAATATAAGGCAACTTCTTTAAAATATCAGCATCTCAAATCACGAATTTCGATTTTCTCTGTTTGAAATTTCGAAATTTTTTAGCTTAGTCTCCCAGAATTATTACAATTGAAAGCATAGCAATTTCTTGTTTTAGCTGTTCAATTTCTTTTGAAAGTTGTACACAACGCTGGTCCGCTTTCTTCATTTCCATCATTACTGCGCTATCGGTTAAAGGAGACGAACTCAATATCGATTCCTGTCGACCATCAGGTTTTATCGGCACGCCTGAAAAACGTATAATTTTGTTAAGTATCCGCAAATTTTTTAAAACATTTTATTGTATTATTTTCGATTTATTCATTAATTTACGATGTTACACCTTCACCGACACCAGGGGGGAGGGGATATAATGGAGGTCGATCTTCCTCTTCTACCAACTCCGTATCTTCGATTTTCATTTCCGACTTTTCTTCTTCCTTTTCTTCCTCCTCTTCTCCTTCTTCTCCTTCTCCTTCTCCTTCTCCTTCTTTCATTGCTGTTTCAGGTTCATCTGGTAAAGTTTCTTCAACAACTTCAACAAGAACCTCTTCTACAACTTCCACATCTTGATCAGCCATGCTTCATAAGTAATAATTTTAATAATAATCAGTATTAATAAATAACTGAACGCTAATAAAATATAATTTGAAAATAAAATATATTTTCCATACTTTGATAATTCTTTTTCCTCTTGTCTTGAATTTTCAATCTCTTGTAATTTTAATGGTTGAAAATCAGACTCCTGTTTAATTTCCTCCGGTCTATCGTTATAGTCACTTGCTTCGTAAGTCTAGCAAAATTATTTTGAATTAATTTATAACAATCTATTTATTTTCCAAACATAATATGTTACCAAATGTGCTAAGAAATTGCTTATTGATCAGTTGCATAATTTAAATACAAATAATACCAAAATCACACCCGTTCGAGAATGTGTGGTTCAAGGTCCACTTGCTGTAAAAATAGTGAACGTACGAGGCTTTTAGGATTCTTAGAATTTCGTGATTTAAAAGGTAACACATGCCCTTCTTGATGATACTCGACTGCTAACGTGCATATGTCCGGTAAATTTAAAGGCTTTTTAAGATCGAACAAAGATTCTAGTGAACCGAAAACATCTCTTTTCAAGGGCTCCCTGTATTCCGCACTCTTTTTCTGTACTTTCGGACTACACCTTTTCAAACGCTTTAATTCATGGAAACTTTTGATCTTAACAGGAAAACCATCGAATTCGCGAACATGAAGAGGTGTCGGTGAATTTCTTGGGGAACGAGATGAATTCCACGAACACGGTCTCCGCTTCTAAATTAATTAAATTGTATCTCTCGAATATTATATTTTAATATAATTTTTTAAATACGTAAACTATTGTAATACAGTTCCTTTTGCAAAAAAATATTTCACTCAAAAACAATCTGTCATAGTTGAATTTAATTAGTATATTAAAATTTTACCCAACATTTTACCTTCATTATTTTACCTTCGATACGACACCGTTGCTTCGCTTATTAGTACAAGGTGTTTACAGTACTATCGCAAATCCAGAAATAATCCTTTCCTCTCGATTATTCACTGAAGGAACGTTATCGCTATCAAATTGCGTTGAACGATTTCTCGACTTTTATTTCCAAATTATCTCTTTTTTTATGTAATTTTTATAGGTCCAAAACTGAAATATATGATATATTAACGTAGCAACCAATAGATGAATTTATTGAAATTAAAATAAGATTTTAAAAAACTTTCTCAAAATATGGCACTTACTCGGGAGGACCTTCAATTTCTTCAAATACGAATGTGGAACATACGTCTTTTATTTTTATACTATATAGTTACATACTTGAATTTATCAACTGTATCCTAAACATATTTGTATACTTGTGAATTAAATAACCTTTAAAAATATGCTTCTACCTTTAAACGTTATATAGCAATACTAATTTGGATAAATAATGTAGAATAGAAATATTATTAATTCAATATTCACGCTAAAGGAAATAAAAGGTTTCAATTAACAATATGAAAACAATTGTCGGCGTCATGAATATAAGATACAGGTTGTTATTTATTAGACATTTAACTATTTGAAATAATAAAAATAACGGCAAAGTTGTATAATAATTACTCTAAAGTGAAAGTAAATAATGTGTGTTTTTATTAATATAATTACGGTATATTACACAATTTAGTACCTAATAAAAATTGGGGTACTTTCACGAGCATAGGTGGAAACGTTTACGAAACAATGTCAGATTAAGATGCACCAAATTTTTAAAAACAATTTACTATTTAACAGTGAGTAATATGTTTCTACCTTATCTGGTAAATATTAATTTAGGACAACATATTCATTCACAAAAAGGTCATCAATTTCCGTTATGTACAAATGTATTTATTGCCGTATTTGATTTATTATGTTTATTCACAAAGATCATACGTACATTCTGGTTTATGAAAAATTCTAGTGACTTAAAATACAATATACATTCATAAGGCTTATACATAAATAATTTAATTTGTATTTTCATGAAATGGAGGTTATGGATTACAGTAAGTGTTTACAAGTAGAACACAATGTTTAGGAGTATAATTTTTTTTTAAATAAAAATATTTACATATATGATTTAATTCAAAATAAGTAAAACATATTTAAATTTGTGATATTATAAAGAATGTAAACATTATAAATCACTTTTTATGTTATAAATCAAAGGATAAAAGTTAGTTACAGATGTAAACCTTTATATTCAAGAAAATTTCTAATAGTTAAATATAATTGAGATAATTTGTTTCAATTTTAATAAAATATTGTAGCAGCAGAGACAGCACAAATGGAAAATAGATTAGAAAATCATTCTGAAGAAATTGATAATGATAATGCTGACAATTTAGAAAGTGAGGCCCAAATAGAAGATTCAGGTGAGTTTATTTTAAGTTTTATATTCATTATATTAGATACTATAGAGCAGAAAAATAATGTTGCATATAATATTTTAGAAGATAATAATGAGAATGAATCAAAGGCAAAAAAAGCAAAAGAAACAACATTAGATGAATCTGAGGTTGATTCTGATCAATCTTGCCCAATATGCATGGATTTATGGACTAGTTCAGGGGATCATCGCTTGTGCTGTTTACGATGTGGACATTTGTTTGGACATAGTTGTATTTTAAGATGGTTACAAAATTCTTGTACTAGTGCAAACCGTCGTTGTCCACAATGTAATAGGAAAGCTGCTGTAAAAGATATCAGGATGTTGTATGCCAAGAAATTGACATCAATAGATACCACAGAATTGGATAAATTAAAAGAACAATTACATAGTGTTACTTCTGAAAAAAATCATATAGAAATGGAACTTTCAAAATACAATCTTAGACAAAAATTATTTGAACAACAAATTACTAGCATGAAAAATCGGATATTCGAACTTGAAAATCAACAATCAAAAATAGATATTCATACACACCAAAATATTTCTAAGCATATGATTAAAAAATTCCATCTAGAGCGATCTATAGAAATATGTAAAGATGGTGGTTGTCGTGTATTAGATTACAACCCATGGTTTGGATTTTTAGTTGTATCGCAGAAGTCATCAAGTACATTATTTTCGGGATATGGCATTAAAAAAATTGACTCAGATAAATTCCAACCACGTCAATTTATTTTTTTACATAACCAGGTTATAAGGGATGTTACATTTAATACAACCCAGCAGTCACTGTTACTTAGTGTTGGTTTTGACAAATGTGCGAAATTAATGGATATTCAGAATCACATTGTTATGCACACTTATCAAATAGACTTTCCATTATGGAGTTGCTGCTGGTCAGGTAACAATTCAAACATGTTTTTTGTAGGTGCACAGAATGGATCTATAACACAATTTGATATTAGACAAACTTCTGGTGCTATAGAAACTATAGACAATCCAGGTGATAGATCACCGGTCGTTTCTCTAGCGACAGTACCTTGTAATCCCGGTAGCGGTATCAGTCGGGGTGGATTTATAGCATGTCGATTAAATACATGTTATGCTTATGAACAAAAAGACTCTAAATATATACCAAAACAAATATTTCTTGAAGGACCATTTGTATCTGTATGTTATGATGAAAAAAACAATCATACTTTAATATCTTCCCGACCAAATGCTAGACAACCTTATGCACGGCACATAGTATGTACTATAGAAAAAGGCAATGATGAATCAACAATTTGTAATGTGGTACATACATTTCACGCTGGTAATTCTCAACAGTTATTGTCTCGACCATGTTACATAAATATTGAAAATGATACATTAGTTGCTGCACATCAAGAATCTATTAGTAGTATATCATTATGGAGCACATCTACTGGAAAACAAGTAAATAGTCTACCTGTTTCTGATCCTGTAGTAGATTTGTGTGCAGTCGACATTAATAGTAATTTATTTTTGGCCACACTTTCTTCAAAAAAAGTTAGAATTTATAATCATGGATAATTGTTATAGAAGTAAATAGAAATATCTTTCAACTATACATTATAAATTTATACTGTAATAGATATATAATATGATTGCCAATATTGTGCTTCTTCACTAAGTTTAAAAGATATTTTTTGCATAAAATGATATCACAAAAATAAGTGAACAATACAAAATGTGAACTATTATAAATGATGCATAAATTTTCTTACTAATGACAATGTGGATGTTTTTACATAACTTAAATTACCAAAAACGAACATTTATTATATAAATATATTTTTCTACTAATTTAAAACTGTTTCAATGATTATTCTAAACACTATTCTGCAGCAGAATAATAATATTAAAAATAAGTATATATTTATACATTAAATAATATAATTAATAATGGTACAGCACATTTATTGATCTTAAAGTTATCAATATTGTAAAATAAAGAAATTTTTGTACATATATTCCTACTACCTTTTTTAAAGAAAATTATTTATTAATATTCATGAATTATTAAATTACATATAGATTTTGTAACTAATTACTTTTATAAATTAACTCATTTGTATTTAATTTTTAAATTTTGCGATTCTAAATCAAACCAAATAATATTATAAACTATTAGTACACCTCTAACACAGCCTCCATATAAATTACTAAAAAATGTAAAAAAAAAAGTTAAGAACTCCTATTTCAGCACTGCCTGGAACACAATATTGCTTAAATATATATGCGAAGAAAAATTTGATTCAATTTGTAGAGGATAACATGTATAATGTTACACCAGTAATTTTTTTGAACAAGTTTCAAATATATTCTACATGAACTGCTATTTTATTAGTGATTTAAGAGTAATTAATTTCTTAAATTATTTATAAACCTGCAATTTTGCACAAATAACATAACCATATAAATTTTATTAAATATTTTTAATATAATATTGTTTTTCTTGAAATTTCATAAGCTGGAAGTGTCAACGCTATTTGGAAGTATCAATGCCATACTCTAATACTTTTTCATTATTGATTTTCAACTTATGCTTATTTAAAAACTGAATTTATTTTATAACATTATTATTAATGATTTAATAAATGCAATTTTTTAACGTGGAATGTACATCTCCAGCTTCGAGTACAGAATACTACGCATACGTAAAAAAATATTTATAAATGACATTGTAAATTATGAATCACTGAAACATAACCCATCACCAAAAATGTACAGAATTTAAATATCAATAGTATAGCATTTATGTTTACGATTCTTTTTACAAATTCCATTTAGCACTAACAAGTTGGTGTATATTTCAATAATGTACAATCAGATCTAATTAAGATAAACCTCTTTGTGGCTTGAAAAAATCTACAAGAAGCTAATAATAAAAATATAAACTAATTATGGTTTTCATTTTAATGTAATAAAGCATACAGAGTAGATATTGATTTATAAAAACGAAACAGAATATTTACTAAGTACTATTCCATGCAAAAATATTTTCATTGGAAAGTGAAGAAATATAGCATTTAAATACAATTCCATGAAGTGAAAGGAACGCCCAATAAAAAATTTAGAAGTATACAATAATTTGTACAAAGAGATTTAATAAATGTTTAATATATGGAACTACCTTTTTCTGTTAAAACAAAAAAGATAATAAATGCATTATGACTTAAATAACATTTTTAAACTTTTAATAAACATAAGATAATGAATGACATACTTCTCATACAGTTTTTTAAAATGTGGCTATCAAGTTGGACTTAACAGATTTTATTAATTACTGTTTCTTCATGCCTATTTTACACGTTAAATAAATGAGTATTATTTAAGATTATTAAAATGAATTTTCTGTAAATTTCTTTGCCATTGAAATATTGTCGTTACAGGTGCTGAATTTGATTATGAAACTGCTATGGTATCAGTAATTGGGCATGGTGTTACAGAAGTTTTGTAATGACAAAATGAGCAGTGCTTTTATATGACATATTAACTATACAGTTATCACTAACTGAAAAGCTTCTCAGTGGCACGTTCCAAATCCCAATTGTATGAAGATAAAGCAACTCTTGCATTATGTTCCTCAATTCCCATATCTGTTAATCGCCTTATTTTGTCATCTAAATCAGGCATTTTTGCTGGACCTATAATTTATGAATGTTTATGTAAAAAATACAATTAATATATGTTATAGTTGTAATTGTTCATTATGCACTTACCACCTGCATATACATATGTCCAATGTTTAGCAGTTTGACGAAACATTTCTGGATGCTCTTTATATTGCCTAGCCACTACTGCATCTTGTGGATCATCTGGTTCTGCTGCAGACAGTAAAGCTTGTAATGATAGCAATACTGTACGCAAGGTCATAGCCGCAGCCCTAAAAGTTTATATTTAAAATATGAAATAATTTTTAAAATATAAAGAACTCTATGTTACTCTATGTAATGCTTTTATATAATAAAGTTACATACCATTGATCTTTCAATATATCTAAACAAATAGCACCTGTTACTGAAGATATATTAGGATGCCATATTTTTGTTATGAATCGCACCTATAAAAACATTGTATACTTAATAAAATAATAAAATGACAAAGAATACATATTATTATGTACACTTATCTGGGACATCCATATATTTTCAGAAAAAAGTAACTTAATATAAAATAATGATATGAAGCTTTTAAACGTAAAATATTTCTAATTAATTTAATTTTAGAATATTTTAAAATACACAGGCTTGAAAAATAGTTGCACAAAATAACAAATTATTAACATAAATTTAAAAAAGGGAACATAAAAATGCTTTGTCATGCTTTAGGTTATATTGACGTCTCTTAATTTCAAATAGCACAAAATTGATACTTTATCATTAAGATACATTAATCATATTGACTTACAAAGTGCTTACTTTAGGAGGATTGAAGGGATATGTCTCGGGAACATTAATCTCGAGCACAAAATTACCTCCCTCATATGGTGTATCTGGTGGACCCGCAATCTCACCTTTCAATTCAGTAAAACTATCGTTTACTAATTCAACTTTAATCGCACATTTTGCAACCTACAACAGAATTTAAGCAAATTATTAAAAAATATAAATATTTTCATAATCAATTTATATTACCTTTAAAGCTTTTTTAATAGCTACATACTTACATGAGTGAAAGTAGCTACAATTTGCATGAAACAAAATTAATCTTACATTTTTAACATCTATAAACAAATGAACAATAAAAATACAAAAATCAATAACATGAAAATATAAGTGTGAGTTATTACATAGCAAATGTCTATTATGCATTAATGCTTAAAATACAAGTTATATAATTTTGAATACAAATTATAATATATATAATTCTGTTTTTAGATAGCAGTGTTATATAGAATATGACATTGTAATGAAACACATTTAACTTTTTTCAAAAATATGTGCATAATGTGACCAATGACCTATTGACATTAACATCTGATATTAAAATGATGTAATATCATATTGATAATTTACCATACTGTCACAATATAAAGATTTAGACATTCTGGTGAAATCTGTTTCTTTATAAATGTAATGTGGAAATGATAGACGAAAACAGATATTTTGTGCATATAGAATGGATTTTCTAAAACAACACAATAGCAAGCGGGAATGTCAATGCTTACAGAAATTAAAAGCAAGTGGTATGTATTATTTCAACAAAAATTTCATTGAAAAAAACATGTGTCAATGACCAATCCTATATTTAAGAGTAAAACAAAAATGCATTATTCTACATAATTAAAATTATATTTTAATTTATTAAAATATATCTGGAAGTGCAGACAATTTATGGCGAATTATTTTTTTTCTGTATTAAAAATATTTAGCGGTAATATTTTTTAATACAACAAAATAGAAGCATTTAATTGGAGAATTTAAATGAGTTTAAATGCTGATGACAGTTAAGAATACCATACAACAGGTGCCTACGCTTTGTTCGCGGTGATTTTATCAACCAATGAATCGCGGCACATTTTTGTCACGCCACACATGAAATTTCTTTGGAACAATATAACATAACTCTATGATGGTGTTAAGTAATTTTAGTATTTGTATCTTGAGTGAAACAAATCATACTTTTCAAAATTATACAAAACTATTATTTACTCACTTCTTCGCTTCTTATAACCTCTTTAAATTCGCGTTGGATTCTCAGTGCCGCGATGTTCGCCATAGCTTCCGAATCGGTGAGACAGTCAGTACACTGTCATCGTCATTCAAATAGATTAACGAAGTTTGCTGAATGCGTCAACGTGCACAAACCTTTAAGGTAATAGTACTTGAGTTTACTCTCTCTTTCTACTTAGAAAAAAGATAGTTCTAACTCGTGTTCTATACTAAAATCTCCGCTCACGGATACATCCAATTTATCATTCAATCACCGCCGGCGCCACATTGATGAGAAAAGTTGACTGTCACCCGCTCGTATTCACCCTTTTGAATTTTGTCTACGTTCACGTCGTTCGTCTTTATGGCGCCAATTTATAAATTAGAAGAGGATACAAATCTTTATAACAACTAAATTATTTATGATTTATTTGTATTTTCAATAAAACATATGAAAATGTTTAAAATCTACACGAAAACAAAAGTTCTTTGAAAATATGATAATTTTATTATTTAGGTTACAATTTAGAATGTGATAAATTTAAATTTTATAGTGAACTAAATAAATTATTAATTTATTTTGAATTATACATCATATAAAAGTATAATTAAAATTTTAGAATTAGTTTAAGATATATAATTTATTTATGTTATGAAACTAGATAATATTTCTTTTGAATAGACGGTTAGATTGCGGCAATCATAACAAATCATTAACAAATCATCGATAAGATTTTTAAAAGCGTTATAATTTTCATTGCACAACAAAGTAAATTTAATGCCTTAGCCTATTATTTTGATAGTAGAAAAAAATAAACGATAAGAAATGCATTTACGCGGTTATATCCAACGCTCAATAGGCGGAGCATAATATTTACATCACATCCGGTTTTGAAAGCGTTCTTTGATTGGATAGTCTCTTTGTGATTTCTGTTTTAGTGATGCCTGTGTCGCAGCCAGTGCGTGCCAAGAGTTTGTTACATGCAAACTTAGAAAATTCTCGCGGGCGACTTTTGCAAAGCAGAATGCCAAACATCAAAGTCTTCAGTGGTACATCGCATCCAGATTTGGCTCAGCGTATTGTCGACAGACTCGGTATTGACATTGGAAAAGTTGTCACAAAGAAATTTAGTAACCTCGAAACATGGTAATGGTTGCATTCACCACATTGACCACGTTATTGTCATTGCTTTAAACTAAGGTTCTGACCACGTGTCATCTAAAATTCCACTTAAATTTTGTTCTTCTCATTTATTTTTTAAAAAGCGAAACATTTTTAATATTCTTGTTTTACCATTTTCGTATTCGCATTAAATTATCATCCCTATCACACAAACAACCCCGTCGTGCAAGGCCGGTTTTCTAGTATAATATCAAGCCGCGACGTTTAAGTTGAAGGTCAACTAGTACAATTATTAATATACATTCTAATAAATTTTGACATTAATACATTTGTACAAATACTGATACGTAATTACGATATATTTGAATTTTTAAGTATATGATAAATATATTTTATGTTATTGTTATTGTTTGTTCATATTCAGTTTTATCACAGAGTAAAATATGAAATACCAAATAAATTAACAAAGTAAGAAAATAAGTAAAGTATAAAATAATTTCAAATACGAAAAACTAAAGATATTGACAAAAATAAATAAAATATATAAATGTGCATATATCACTTAGCAACTTCTATATGTATAGAATTTTTTACTTTAACTTGTTACTATATTAAAATAAGGCATAAACAGGTATTTCTAAATGCATAAGTTGAACAATACTTTGATTTTATATTTATATAGTTTTTACTATTATTTTAAATTTATTTTTTAAATTAAATTAATCATTTTTTATATATTATTCTGTGTAGAATATATATCAATAACTTTATAGTAATTACATTTGTTTTCTTTATATTCTTATTAGTGTGGAAATAGGAGAATCAGTTCGTGGAGAAGATGTGTACATTGTACAAAGTGGAAGTGGAGAAGTAAATGATAACTTGATGGAGTTACTGATTATGATCAATGCATGTAAAATTGCCTCTGCATCTCGAGTAACTGCTGTAATTCCTTGTTTTCCATATGCAAGACAAGATAAGAAGGATAAGGTAGGATGCATTGATAAGATAATATGTTTCTTTCATTTTTTCCTATTACAATATTATTTATAGAAATTTAGTAAAACACTAGGAATTAATAGTATTTTCAGAGAATCAATAAAGCTTAATTTGTTTAGATTCTTTGTATACAGTTTTATCACTGGTGATGGTATATCTTGTAATATATACATATATGTGTTTTTTGTTACCATATATTACAAATATATTTGAAGCTTAATTGGAAGCTTATTCCTAAATATTTTGATTGTTTAAGTCATATATGATGTGTGATAGTAAATTCAATTAATATTGTGTTATGATATTTGTTGTTTTATTGTTTTTAAGTACCAGGTGTTTATACTTACCTCTAATTATTTATTTGCACATATGTGTGTTTTCATTGTTTGTTACTTCTAAAAATATAATAGCTTAATTGTATTATTATAATTTAATAGAGTCAATTAATTTTTATTAGTTTAAGCAAGTCATAAATTGAATACAAAATACTTATATAACAAAATAACTCATAGAATCTATATTTTGTTAAGTTTAATACTTCATATACATAAGTCATCTTGCTGATATATGTCAATAATTAACATTATTGTATATTATAATATTGCTTTGAATATGCAACTAAAATAGATATCTATGTAGGAAAAGGATGTTATATTTACCACTTTTATAAAGTAATATAATATATAAATTTTTAATTTAATCTTTAATAATATAATCTTGTAATCTTATATATGCCCATATATTTTTACAGTTGAATATTTGTTATATGCTTATTTCTCTCAAGCAAACATCTCTGATGCAATAATTACATTATGTACATATTTCAAATAATTTATCTGATAAGTTGTAGTTTTAATCAAAATTGTTTACTTCAGTCTTCTGTAATCAAAGAATATGTACCCCACAATAAGGAAAATATGATTTGTCAAAGAAGAAGTTAAATTTTTGTTATATGATATCTTCACAGGGTGGTGATGGAGGTGACAACACAAATTCTAAGAATCAAATTGTCATGAAGTCAAACGAGTGGAAATTCAGGGTAACATGTAGCGGTCCTTTTTTTACTCTATTTACTGTTTAACAGCTTTGCAACAGACCAGTGGAGTAATATCACTTTTGGAACGCAAAACATCAGTTTTCATCATCATACAAGATATGCTTATAATATTTTGGCTTACATCATTGAGATGTACCAAATGGTACACTCATTTTGCAAGATTTCATTATTTTTTGTTTTATATTTTCCTCCTCGACAGTCATAACTAACCTCCATTAGAATTAATATATAATTTTAATACATACTACAAAGAAATAATGTAAATTTACAATGTACACTCTAAATATCTTATATGTCTTATTTAAATACTCACTACATATAAATATATATACAAAATTTCACCTTTGAGAAAATGGGGCACAAGAATAAAAGCAATATAATACAACATGCATGCAAAAAATCAAGGATACATATCATATTAAAAAGTATTAATCATTCATCTTATGCATTTTATGGGGTAGCTTGAAAGATTAAAATACACATTCCAGGAAATAATGATACATCTATTGTATGATACAAATATTTAGATGTCACATTCAATTTGCATGAATTAATTTTTCAAAAATACTAATACTAATTAGTACATGTGCATATATGATTTTCATGCAGCACTTTATTTTACAAGGTGAGACATAATTGAAATAAAACTTCGCATAATTTTGTAATAAATAATTAACAAAGTTGTAAACAACAAATACATTATAAGTGAAGCATATTGCGTTTAGCAATTATCAGAAGGTTATCAAAAGACAGATAACCCACATGAATATTGCAAAATTAATATCAGAATTCATCGAGGGGGGCCTTCCATGCGTTCACAGTATGATATTTACCATCATTGTCTATTAAATGCAGTTTATTTTATTAAATTTCTTATTTAAAAAATTGATTAATATTTTTTTTTTTTAAATTTCAGTAATTGCCTACCATAACATTTTAAAGAAATAAACACAACAAATATACTTTAATAAAAATTTAATTAAAATAATAATATAATTATCATTGCAATTAAAATTTAGTCTTTAATAAATAATCTTAGTTAAAATGAAAAAATACATTATTAATAAAATAATTTTGTCAAAGATTAATTTTTCTTTATACATAAATTTCTGAATAGTTGGGTATTTTCAGGATTTTGTGTCCGACCTTTTTACAGTGAGTACAAGAACAAGATTGTAACGTTTGTCGAGTGTAACGTTTGTAATTATAACTCGATAAACATTTCGATTTATAATATAATTTTTAGTTTCTTACAAAATTTTCTTTATAGGACTAACAAGACTTATAATTATTGCTACATAGCACAATGGTATCCCCATGAATGAGTGAGTGAATGAATTATTTGACCAGAGCATATTTATACCTGAGTGAGAGGGCAAAGTATTAATATAATAGCATTCTACATACATTTATAATAATCTACATATACGTTATGGGGTACACACTTGTATGTTAAATGGGTACTAATTATTATGTTGTTAAAAATGTTGTTGTCCAAATGTACTAATCAAAAAATGCCCATCTTATTAACGAAATAGCGCTTTAGCAAGAGGAAACTGTGATTGTGTTGTTTTGGCAATAGAGTGTTATGCCAATAAAATAATTTGCCAACAAATATTCTTCTTCTTAAGATATTAATAATAATTAGCTTTATAAAATTTATATTTATTATAGATAATTTTATTAAAATAATTTAATTATTTTTCTGAGCACAATGCATTTATGTTTATTTAAGGAATTTCACTGTGTTTATTATTAGAAACTCAATAGTACATTAATGTGTTTATTATGTATAGTTACTTTATTTTATTTTTTTGTAATGTCTTTAAGTATTTTTATACAAAATTAAAAAATCATAATGCACTGTGTTCTGTATTGTAATTTATAAGTTTGAATTTTGCTTTACTTACATTTTCTTTTTGAGTCTAACTGGGGTGCATTTGCAACATACTGGTTTTGAATTTTTTTTATATATACACACATAAAATGTATTTTTTATGAATATTTCAATGTATAGCCATTGTATTCATATTTTGTCCCCTCAAAAAAATTAAATAATTAAGTTCTGTTGTATAACATATATCTTTTACAAAAAGTTACATTTTAATTGTATACTCTTTTATTTGTTCACCTTATTTGTTAACAGCTTTCCAAAATGTCTAAAAAAAAATTTTAATAGCAATTTTTTTCAAATTGCAGGGTATTTCCAGTTGCAAATGGACTTGAATGACTCATGTAGTTTCGTGAAATTAAAATTTGTGATTGTTTTTCTTTTTTAGAGTCGTGCACCTATTTCAGCTAAACTAGTAGCAAATATGCTGTCAGTAGCTGGAGCTGATCACATTATTACAATGGACTTACATGCTAGTCAAATACAAGGATTTTTTGACATTCCAGTTGACAATTTATTTGCTGAACCAGCTGTTTTGAAATGGATTAAAGAGAACATTATTGAATGGCGTAACAGTATCATTGTTTCTCCAGATGCTGGTGGTGCCAAAAGGTAATTCAGAAATAATATAAATCTAAAGTAAGTATATCTAAGGAAATCATCTTAACAGGGTAACATCTATCGCTGATCGATTAAATGTTGAATTTGCTCTTATACATAAAGAAAGGAAAAAGGCAAATGAGGTTGCTAGTATGGTATTAGTTGGAGATGTAAAAGACAGAGTTGCTATTCTAGTAGATGATATGGCTGACACTTGTGGCACTATTTGTCATGCAGCAGAAAAACTTTTGGAAGCTGGAGCAATCAAAGTATATGCAATTTTAACACATGGCATTTTTAGTGGCCCAGCAATTAGTAGAATTAATAATGCTTCTTTTGAAGCTGTGGTAGTAACAAATACCATTCCTCAGGATGGCCATATGAAGGACTGCCCAAAGATACAGGTAAATGAATGTTATAATTTATAATATATATTTTGAAATATATTATAAGTTATAAATTAATTTATATATTGTTTTCTTCTTTTGTGGTTTAGTGTATTGATGTATCAATGATGTTTGCTGAGGCTGTAAGGCGGACTCACAATGGTGAATCTGTATCGTACCTGTTTTCAAATGTACCGTATTAGATACAAATCTGCCTGACAATGTACTCTTTCAACCAATATAGGAAGAATGTAATCTTTTTACATCCGTTTATTGTTATCTTTAGTTTAGTTTGAACTAATTTGCATACAGAAACAAATTTGGGATAAGGACTAATATCCCATTTTTAATTTCAAAACCATATATATCCTTTTCTTCGATAGACGTTTATAGAATATGAGACATTAGATAAATGAAAAGTATTGTACTTTCCATTTTGAAAGAAAAATAAGGTAACAAGTAATAGTTACAAAAAGAAGCTTCAGAATGAAATTATTTGTAAACAATTAAATTTTCGCTAGGTTGCTATTGAATATGCAGAATACATCGTTGCTCCATTTAGAACATAGCTACTATACTGTATAATTTAAATTGTATGATTTGTTGTTGCGGTGTGAAATGACACTATAATTATCCTAACAGTTGTATGAGACTGGAGATAAAAAGTATTGTAACAGCTGCAAGTAAACATTTATGCGATATAACTACGACTATCATAGAGGCATAATATCATTTTTTACAGTCAAATGTAAAAATTTGCATGTATGTACAATTTTTTAACTGATAATACAACGCGTCAAAATAATTAATTTTTTACAACTCTGGTATAATATGTGGTACATTCTAATACGTTTGCGTACTATATTGTGTGCTACAATAGAAAAATAATGTCAAAAAGACATTGTATCTTTTTCTGACTATCTTTTACTACTACCGTTTTTAAAAGAAGGAGTAAGTCGATGTTTATATGAACGTAATTCTATTACCGGAAATAATTATATCCTCATTTAACAGAGGAACTTAACTTTACAGTTAGCTTTGGACCAATATATGAAAATATAAGTCAATATAACTACAGTGTTGTTTACGTGCAAATTTTTTCTTAATTCGCTAAGAAGTGCTACCTGTGAATGGATTGGATATTATAATAAATATTTAAAAAAAAATGCAATTTTAACCTTTTATTATTATAATAAAAAAATGATGTACATGAACATTTTACATTAGTATGAATAATTTCAATGTTGCAATCAACCATATTATGATTAAGTGTTTATAAATATTTTCTTTTTCCTTTAAAAGTTATATTGTGTATAAAATGTAATCTTCATTAGTTAAATATCAAGTTAAGTTCTGTTTAATTTCTGTTATTAATTAGCACATATTGACCTATGGTCTGTGTTATAATACTCAAATATTATTATACGCTATGACTAATAAATATTGTTCATTATACTATAATTAAACATGTAGATAGTCGATTGTAAAGAAATTATTCATGACATATTTAATAACTACAATACCAAAAATTTTGTTGATATAATTAAGATTTTATATACACTGCAACATGACAGAATTGTTTAACTTAATTTGTAATTCATTTTATAGTATTATATGGACTAAAATTAAACCGTGAATCTTTCATATTAAAAAGTACATAAGATCCCCATAATTTGTTTCAACATACATTTGTGAAACAATTTCTTAAAATAATACAAACTGATACTTTATCTAAGTACAAAATTGTTCTATTTACATGTCATCTTGTATAAATAAAGATATTATAATTATAATATTTTTATATTTATAAAACATATTTCGACATTTTTATAATATTTTGAAATGAAAAGTATCATTTTAAAATCTTAATCTTTTTTACATTTGCCCTGCAATTTTCATTCTTTTTAAATAAGATTGTAAAAAATCATAACTAATAGCAAAACTTATACAAATTTATAGATAAATAAATTAAAATTTGTACAATTTGACATGCTTGTATATAAGAAATATAATGTCATTTATTACTATATATTTCATTTTTTATGATTTACAATGACCAGATGGTAATGTTATATCAAAAACTACAGGTGGATTACTTGGTAAATAATTTAAATCACATGTTGATGCATTTACATATATTATTTTCCCATCAGATGAAATACCATATCCTATAAGATGATGAATATGTAACTCACATGAAAAATAAGAAAAATAAATTAAAAAAAATATAAAAAGGAATGTTGTTTCTAACATACCTTCATGTATATGGCCAAAAACATGATACTTTGGTTTAACTCGATTTTGAACTGTAGAAAGTAATTCAACACATCCAGCTCTTACACCACTGCAACATAAATCACCATGTCCTACAGGAGGTGTATGGGTTACAAGAATATCTGTATCAGATGGTATCATTTCCCACTTTGAAAGGCATGCTTCTCCACGAGGTACATTAAATGCCCATTTACAAAATTCTGGTTGCCTAAAATACAAGGAAGGAATTTGGTAGGAAAATATGCTATATGAAATACTTATGAAATAGAAATAGAAATAGAAATAGAAATATTTACCATGGAGTGCCATATATTTTTATTCCATGTATTATAATTTCTGAATCTTCTAAATACGTACAATTTGTCAAATAATCTTTAACATTAGTAGTCTGTATTGCTTCTGCAAGAGTATCTTTAGACATACCTAAAGTAGGTATATCATCAAGAATACTGGTCCCTGTATGTTTCTGACGATTACCACTAGTTTGTAAAGAAAAGGGATGAGTAAATGTAGGATCAAAACTAAGTTCATGATTACCAGCTATAACAATTTTATTTTTATGTGGCAAATTACCTACAATACAATATTTATCAATACATATTTATAAAAGAAGCCATGAAAAATGAACATTTCTGTTTTAAATTACCAATCCAATTGTTAAATTCTATGACTTCTTGTAAATTACCACACTTTGTAAAATCACCAGCATGTATAAAGACATCTCCCATAGGTATATCGAATTTTATGAATGGTGTTAATGAATGAGTATCACTCATGCAAACAATGCGAAGCTACAAATTAATTAAACGATAAAATAAACTGTTTTCAGTTCTCAATATTATAGTATTATACAAATTTCTGTACTGATAATTTTAGGTTAGATTTAATGAATGTTTATAGTAGAAAATATGACAGTTAATCTAAATATTTCACCTTATCATTCGGTGCCTCAGTTATTGGTAATTTAGTATTTATTTTAATAACTTTTTGTTGCTGTGACAATTCACGCCAAGCTGCTGTAGGATTATTCGTCAATGGATGAATCTCTATCTTCATGCTGGAGAAATTATGATGATCACTTGTCAATGTTAATAGTTATATAGAAAAAATGAAATTACCACACATGATACAGAGTTACTTTTCTATATACATTAATTTAATTTTATATTGTATTTTTCACATAAAAATATTAACAACTTGGCTGACAAAGGGCTGACAAACTCTACATGGACTGAGAGATTTATTTTGCTTCCTTATTACAACTTAACAAATTATATTTTGTTTCATATTACACAATATTTAATGTAGCGTGTTACTCACTAGCTAATTAAATAAATGTTTATTAAATTATTAATTAATTTAAATTTATTGACACAACTTTCAAATTTTTCTGAAAATATTTAAATGTCAAGAAATGACAAAAATTTTCGCGCCTATTCGTATACAATTTAATAATATATTTTAATACATTATTTAATTTAAATATATAATTTAATAATATATTAGTACTTGAATAGTGTTATTAATAATTAGTGTTATCAAAATTTAATTTCAAATGAAACAAAATAATCTCGTATATAATATGCTAATTATGATTGCGAAAAATATTTCTTTTAAAACTATATATTTACTAAGGAAAAAGGTGTAATTTTATTATAATTACCTCAATATTTAACAATATTTATATTTAAATTTACAATTTTATTTTCGATGTACAAATATTAATTTAATTTACAAAAATTAATTTTAAAGTAATCATGCAAAGTATTTATTTTTAATTTTTTGCATATCATGGTGTATGATAATATTAATGGCAAATAAAAACGAGATAACTGTGTGCACATTCTTATCTGTATAGTACTACTTAAATAGTGATTTAATAATGCGATAACTTTGATGTACTTTGTTCTATGTTATTATCATATTAATGAACGCTAGTTAATAGTTTACAATCGGTCTATTTTATGAAAATAAATAATTCATTTTGTAAAAATTGCAACTAAAGTAAAGTTATTTATAAAGATAGTCAATTTTTAACATATTCAAAAATAACGGTGCTATTAAAAACTTTAAATTGAAAAATTTTCTGCAGTTAAAAGTAGAAACAAATAAACATCAAAATGTTTTCACAATCGGTAAGTACTGAAACTTTGTGGAAAAGATAAAAATATCATATATAATGTAAAAATATAGCCTTCACTATTATAAAGTCTACTATCTATTCAAATTTTGTTTTATTAATCCATTAAAAATGCTTATAATATACCATATGCCTGTTAGATATTGAAAAATATAAAAATCAGTCATTATCAAAAAGTAATGAGAACATTTTCATCAAAATCTGATTATGCTACAGGATATAACTTTGGTTAGTATAACAAATATACTATAAATATGTTCATATGTGTAAAGATAAAAATACTTTTTATTATATGTTCAAAAATTGCTTTAGAACTAAATGACACACAAAGAGAAATGCAAGAATTGGCACGGAAATTTACAAAGGAAGAAATTATTCCAACAGCTGCTGAATATGATAAAAGTGGAAAGTACCCATGGGATATTGTTAAAAAAGCATGGAGTTTAGGCTTATTGAACAAACATGTTCCTCAACATTGTGGTATAATTACATACTTATATAACTTAAGAAAAGAGATATTTTGAAGGATAAATTATACTCATATATAAACTATTATTATAGGAGGAATGGACGTTGGTACTTTTGAAGGCTGTTTAGTTGGTGAAGAATTTGCTTATGGTTGTACAGGAATATCAACTGCATTAGAAGGATCAGGATTAGGTGTAAGTATTTCTTTTCTTCAGTATTTTCTTATTTATATAAAATTATATATATCTAAAACTTTTTTGTAGCAAGCACCTGTAGTTGCATTTGGGACAAAAGAACAACAAAAGAAGTATCTTGGTAGGCTCATTGAAGAGCCACTTGTTGCTGTAAGATAATCAGTTTTATTATTTATATTTTGTAGCAATTCAGTATATTTACAACATAAAAATCATAGGCCTATTGTGTTACTGAACCTGGAGCTGGATCAGATGTAGCAGGTATTAAAACAAAAGCTGTAAAAAAGGGAAATGAGTGGATCATTAATGGAACAAAAATGTGGATAACCAATGGAGGTGTTGCTAATTGGTATGTTGAATTTATTATCAACTTATTTATTATTAAATTATTTTAGTATTCGCTATACAAAAATTTCATATGTATAGGTACTTTCTATTAGCGAGGACAAATCCTGATCCAAAAGCTCCACCTGGCAAAGCTTTCACAGCCTTTATTGTTGATAGGGAGTCTGAGGGCTTAACACCTGGTCGAAAAGTAAATTTTTTTATTTATAAAATATTGTTAAATTTAGTATTAAATTACTTTATCTTCTAAATTAAAGTAAATTTGCTTTGTGGTACAACAGGAAATAAATATGGGTCAAAGAGCTTCTGATACTCGAATGATAACATTTGAAGAAGTTCGAGTTCCAGAAGAAAATGTTTTAGGCAAGGAGGGTGAAGGATTTAAGATTGCTATGAAAACCTTTGATAAGACTAGACCAATGGTATAATCAGAAAAATATTAAGATCTTTTAATACCAAGTATACAACTATAACATTTAAATATTGTTTCTTAACTTTTTTTTATAGGTAGCAGCCTCATCTGTTGGTTTAGCTCAAAGGGCGTTTGATGAAGCTATAAAATATGCGATAGAACGTAAAGCCTTTAATAAAATAATAGCAGAACATCAAGCTGTAGCATTTATGCTCTCAGATATGATTATTGGTGTTGAGACAGCTAGACTTGCATGGATGAAGGCAGCATGGGCTGCAGATCACGGCCTTCCATCAGCTACAACTCTTGCTAGCATTGCAAAATGTTATGGTGGTGATGTGGCTAACAAATGTGCAACAGATGCTGTTCAAGTACATAATTATTGTACAAAATATTTATTTTCCGTAGAAAGTGGAATTAATCATTTTACATACGAAATTCTTTACAGATTTTTGGTGGTGCTGGATTCAATTCCGAATATCCTGTAGAAAAATTGATGCGAGATGCAAAAATTTATCAAATTTACGAAGGTACTGCGCAAATTCAGAGACTTATAATTTCACGTAATCTTCTGAATGAAGCGATGCAAAAGAACGTGTAATTTTTGTAATAAAAGATTTTTAAATTTTTGATAAGTATATGTGAATCACTTTTAATGGTATAGGTAATTGTTTTCTATATTATTATCGTTAGTATGCATATTGATACGAGTTCAATACGAGTTTCGTATTTGTTTCTCGAGTTTATCTAACATATACATAAAATATATATTTTGTAACATTTTGTATGATTATTATACATTATACTTGTTTATTATTAAACACAAAGATTTCGTATTTTATTAATTTCACGTTATTATTTTTGAACATACATTTTATTATAGAGAAATATAACGCAGAAGAAACACGATGATTTTACATTTCATATTTCGCGCTAGTCAATGTTAGATAGCGCTGCAAACGTTGTTCGAAAGCGTTAGTCAAGTGTATTGTACAATGAAAAGGGATTACATCGCATTATGTCCGTCAGGTCATAGTTTTTACACGGTTATATTTGGTGAAGTCGTGCGTGGCGAGTTATGCAACATTTGGTGTAAAAGCGCCCCATAATAAGACGTCCAGATATTGTGACACCTGACCTACTTAGACGGTATCGTCGTATTTAAGACAGTGGTAAATTGATAACATTTATAACATGAAAAACGCATTTGACAGCCTTTCAATTTGCAGATTCTAACTGCCTGTAAACACGAGAGAACTAGGAAATCTTTCGGAAATTGCGTCTTTCCGTGATACATTATTGGAACACAGTGCCGTGTCTAGTAAATCCTGGTACCCACATAAGACCTTACTCTATACGTTCCGTCTTTCAAACTACTTTCCCTTTTGTTATTGTTCAATGTGATATAATTAAAAGTAAACAGTCAGAAGATTATTTCAGTGTTGGAAACTTCATATTATAAACGTAAAGATGTATTTGTTCGAGCGTTTCCTACATTATGTGGTATTTACGAGATCAGTATAGTTAATATTTTCCCTTTCGTTATCCACTGCCGTGCCTATGAATCGAAAAATTGGGCGCAAATCAGATGGTTTCGCAGTTTATCCTTATAAGACAAGCATATAATGAAAATAGACATTTATTCATTATAATTTTAAAACAAGCGAATCATTTTCTTTATTCGTGAATATTCAAACTCATAATTTCATAACACATAATTAATCAGTAGTTGTTTCTAAATATTCCGTTGAAAATGATAATCACAGACTTTTTAAAATATTTCGTTATTAACAATACGATGAAATGAAATAAAATTTCCAAAAGTCATCCTTTTTTTTAGTGATGTAAAAATTGTCCAGGTATTGAATATTTAAAATTGATCAAAGTAGTGCTAATTAATGCATAAATCATAAAACAAAAGTATATCTGCAAAGATCTTTATTTCATTTCTTTAAACTTTAGTCCCACAAATATAACATATATAAATTCGAATCGTTCGTTTTAATCTATTATCTACTATTAATCGAATAAAAGTATCGTGCCCTACAGCACTGTAGCTCGGGAAAAGGTTTTACAAAGCGACATTAATAGATGTTGTATAGCAATGGCAAGAATTGTAAGGTGGGTAACGAAAAGCGTGATTTCGGCGCGCGGTTCCGATAAAGCTAACCGGTGGCGGGTACCGGCACTGAGCACACGGCCCTGGAACTCGTGCTGTCAGAGCGCAACGGTGCGCCGGACGCTCGCTTGACTAAGGGAGTGCCCGTCCCGATGCAAAGTGTAAGTGAAGTGGCCTACAGACCTACATTTGTCTAACGTTCGATTTTTTTCGAGCCGGCGGACAGGAGGTTAATAATCCGCGCGGGGCTCATTTTTCCGCGGGCGTGTGTGATGTCGCTGTTGTGTGATATACTGATGTTTGGTTGAAAGAGACGGTGTAGTTTCGGTACGCTCAGACGGCGCTGGCCGGCGCGGGGAGCGTAGTAGTAAAAAGAGAGGAGGACAGCAAGAGCGTGCGCACACGAGGAGGAAGAGAGAAGGACAGAGAGGGAACACATACAGATAGGAGCAAAGGAGAGAGAGAAAGAAGGAACAAGAGTGAGCGCGCGCTTCTATTGGCTAGACGGAGAGAAAGAAAACGAGACAGACAGATAGATAGACGGGGGTAAGAAAGAGAGCGAGGGCACGTAAGAGAGTGTAGGTGTTTCGAGAGAAGTGCGTGCGCTCGAGGACGACGTGCAGGAGGAGGGACCCCCGTCTGTCTGTCTGCTGGAATGCACGAGGGCCGAATGGCTACGGGGACAGGGGAAGGTGGGGGCCACACGGCCCTCGAGAACACCACCGCGACGGCCCTTACGGAATCATCGTCGTCCTCCTCCTCCTCGGTACCAAATATCCTAACTGAAAACAACACCGCGACTAATTTGCCTTTGGCGGGACCTCAACAACAGAACCTTCATCAGGTACAACAGCAACAGGCTCAACAACAACAGCAACAACAGCAGCAAACGCACTCACGGCCACGGGTCAACTTGGTCACCGATCTGCCAGCGAACGATACATCAGGTAACCTCAACTACTCATTTCTATGCTCTCGAGTTCTTTGTTGCCGCAGTATACCGCTTACCAAACTCCCTTCTTCTTTCTCCTGCTACTTTGCCTTCTCTGTGCTTCACTCTCACTCTTTGCCGTTTCTCTTTCTCGCTTTCGCTTTCAACTGTCTCCCTCTCACTCCGTGCGTGCAGTCTTTCGTCCTTTTCATCTTTCCTTTTCTCGTCAACGTTTCCACGTTGCTTGGTATTCTCTCTCTCTCGCTCAGTCGCTCTTTCTCATTCTTTCCCTCTCTCCCACTCTCTTTTTTTCTCTATTATTCGCCTGCTTGTACTCGCTTCGCTCATTCGCTCGTTCGACTCGGTCCACCTCTGAAGTTACAGGTACACACGATCTTCATTCTTCCTCGTTGTGCGTCGTGACAAAGCGTCAACGTTTTTAAATAATAAAATTGTTCCATACTTCACCTCACGATAACTTTCCTGCGCTTGCCCACAAGTAGCCATTGTATTAAGAACGGTTAGTAATAGAAAAATCAGTGGCGAGATTTTATCATGACTCGTCACGTTAACTAAAACGCATAACGATAAAACGAATCTCGTTCATCGATTCGCGTTTAACGAATCTATCTACCGTTAACTTTATTAGATTGAAATTATTCGCAAAGCTGTCGAGTCCAATTGTACACACCGTTTAAATTACCCGCCACACGGAACAAAGTCAAAGGAACAATATTCCATATGGAACGGGTTTGACTAAAAAGTTCCTAGACACATTGATAGTAAGAAAAACTGTAGCAAAAAGCCCTAGGGTTAAAAAAGGCAAGCAAATATCTTAGCAACGATAGTTTATATCGGAAGAACGCGATAAGACACATAAAACGTCCGGAATCAGATAATACCTTAGGGCGTGCGCGTATTTCTTGGCGGGCGATAAAATTTTAGCTGGCCGGTACGGAATCGGGGGTTGTGCGCAGCCTATGCGATTCCTCGAACGCCACTCGTGGCTGTCGCGCGCAACAGGCGTTTCGCAGCGAATTCCGCAGTAGCGAGGATGCAAACGAGCCGTGTACCCGGTCGCTGCCACATCTCGACGCCTCAGATTTAGAACAGACAGCCTTCGAGCGTTTCTTTATGAACTCGTTGAGTCGACCCTTTGCGGACAAAACAGCAGCGGTTCGATGAAACGGGACACGCTTGCCTTTATTTGCATTCGCGATATCACCCTCTGCGCCCCACCCCATATTTACCGCTACTGGTGTACATTCGCGCGCCGCGTCGCGGAAGGTTATGAAACGAATTTTTCGGAAACAATGGCTCCGTTACTGTTATTCTTTTACGACAGGACGTTTCGTTCTCCTTTTTCTCTCGTTCGTGTTCTCTCTTCGTGTAACTTACGCTTCTCCAAGAAGAACATTTTGCGGCTCGCAGTTCGCATAAGAGGACTGGGTAGGTTAGTCGAACAGCTAAGACGTTTTTTCTTGCACTATTAGACGCACGCGAATCCGTGTCAAAGTGCCTCGGCTGGCAAGAATATCTAATTACTCGGTAAACAAGTAAGTCGTTTTGCCACGAGGGCAGCCGCCTCGTTCGAGCGCGAAAAAGCTTCTCTCTTTCTCTCGGCTGGTTTCGTCGGCGGTCGTCACATCTCGGGTCTCGGTGGTACGCAGCAGTATTGGGCGAAACCGAAGATAGAAAGGCGCGCGCGGGAGAGCTTTTAATTTCCTTAACCGTGACACACGGGTATCGATTCGGGTAAGGGTGGGTCAAAAAGGAGAACCCGCGTATAACGACTCCAATTTCCCGCCGCTTGCCGATAAACATGTCAAGTATGAATATTCATGGCTCTCGCCAGCGTTAATGCAGATAATTAGCTGCATTGTGGCATCGCGCGATTACGCGGGTTCGTTACAAAGATACAGGCTGCTCCTCATCCGCGTCAAGGGCAATTCGCGCTACATTTTCTCTGCTCGCGATCACCCGTTCTATTTCGTTTGTCTCTCGTTCGTTTTTCTTTCTTTTTCTTCCTTTTTTTCGCCATTTTTTCCCGCCTTCTCGTTGTTTGTTCTTTGTTACTGTCTGCTTTAGCCGCGTTTACAATTAGCGCTCCCGTTTCAAATTGCTACTGGTGCTCGCGCAGCCGGTGTTAAACCCACTCGAGCGTGGCGATTCGTCCGCGATACAGGGCCGAATCACGGAGCACCAGAAAAGAATAGGTTAGAATAGTAGAAGCGGTCAAAATCGCGTCGGAGAAATCTATATGGAACTTTATCTTCCTTTACATAAATTTTCATAACCATCATTGGGAAACTCGTAATACAGAACATATATCTTTGGCCTCCGTTTCGATTTACTCAATCTTCGATTACCCAATTCCATTTCGTCCCACCGATTTCACGGAATCTTTGCGCAGGAAGAAGAGAAATAAAAGAGAGAGAGGAAAAAGCAATTATCAAAGCGAATTTCGATCTCCTCCCCTTTCCGATTTTCAAGTGTGACATGATCATCTGTAACTTGTCTCACGACACGCGATATCGTTGCAAAATTAACG